ACGGTGATGATGAGGAATAGTTGATGATGCGTATCATGATGAGTGCTATGATGATGATGTTGAGGTTGATGGCGTTGATGGCGATGATGATGCTGGTGATTATGTTACTGATGATGATGCTGATGAGGATGGTGATGATGAGGATTATGATCATGCTGACGATGAGGATGCTGATGATGCGCGAATTGCCCCCTACGTCGTGCCATGATGATTGTGATGCTGATGCTGCTGCAGCTGCTGATGATGCCGATTCCGAATAGGGGGAGGAAGATGGTGAGGATGATGAATCTGACATCGCTCATCACCGAGCCCACTACCACCAGTACCAGTAGCATGAGGATGATCATCATGATGATGCTGCTGCTGATGACGATGATAATGGTGGTGGTGAGGAGGAGGAAGAGCAGGAGGAGGAGGAGGAGGAGGAGGAGGAGGAGGAGGAAGAGGAGGATCAGACAGATGATGAGGAGGAAGATGCGATAAAGGACGCGCATATACGCACATGTACATATTATCATACGCACCTCTCATAGAGCTCAGAGGCTATCAATTGAAGCCGTCCGCTCTCGTTCGCAAGTTTCTGGCTGTTTCGTGAGGGACGTCCTCATGTATCTAGACATCGGCCGCACCAATCTCACAAATCGCGACGTCAGGGTCTAAACATACAAGTGATTTTCAACATGCTGACATCACACGTTCAACAACACATTGGGCTTCAATGATTTTGGACGTCCCCCCAAATATTCAAGCCCGACGATGTCCACGGTGTTCGCGTAATCTCCCAAACGACAGCTGGTGCGAGACATCCCCCAGAGTTGCCTTCGGAGCTTGTTTTTAACTGCAATCGCACGATGTGGAACCCCCCTCCTCAGCCACACTCATCGCAAGTGTGGCAACCCCACCTGCGTTATGCTTACGGGCTGCAGTTCTTTTTGTATGAGCCTGGGTACGCACGTAGCACTTGTGTACATGTGCATACCGATGTACACATTAAACATGTGTATACTCATGCGTAAACGTACATGCATGCATACACCTATATATGTATGCACACGTATTTACAGGTATGTATACATGTACAGATGTATCTGTCTCTATGTGTGTACATTTACATGAATATGCGATACTGCACTGGCGCTTCGCGCAATGCACCTTGGTTCTGCAGTTTGGCATCAGGCGGACGGACATGACGGTACAGCATACGTAGTTTTCTCATAATTCGGTGTTGCCTTTTCCGACATCGTCATTGACACTTCGTTTTCCTCTTTCTCAGTCTCGTACTACCCTGCACATTCTTCCCCATTCTCCTCAGCTATTTTTGCGGGGGCTCCTCCTTGGAGAGCCTTGGGGGCCTGGGCTCTCTTCGGGCCATCTTGGGACCCCGTTGGGCCGTCTTGAGCTCTCTTGGACTGCCTGGAAGCCCTTTCGGGCAATTTTGGGGCGACGTCCGCGCCTCCTGGGCGGTCTGCGACGCCCAGAAGGCCGAAGAACAGAGCAGTGGGACCATGGGAAGTCGATGTTTTTTGCGTTTCGAAGGCCTCGTGGGAGTCTTCTGTGGGTCGCCTTGGGACGCAGGTGTCTGCGGCCTCTTGGGGTCCTCGGGGTGCCGTGCGGCTGCCCTCGTGACCGAGTTCGGCCCGCTGCCGAGGCCCAGCAGGGGCTGCAGGGACCTCCGGGAAGCCCAGGGGGCCCTCTGCAGGGGCGTCCAGAAGGCGCCTGGGGCCAGGGATCTGGGGGGGGGTGCCGAAGAGGGGTGGGGGGATTCGCACGGTGCCAGATGTGTAAACTCTGTAACAGGGAATCTCCTTCTCTCGATGTATGTATCTATGTCTGTATCTGCATATGCAGATTTATTTGTACATGTCGATGTGTGTATAAATATGTACGTTTTTCTATTGCATATGTGTGCATATGTATAGATATAGCCAACAGCGCTCGGTTGATATGGTCGTATTCCGAAGTTGTAGGCCAATCGCAGTACGTAGCAGGAGCCTGAGATGTCGGAGAGAGCGATAGAGAGGGAGAGAGAGAGAGAGAGAGAGATAGAAAAGGGGAGAAATAGAGAGAGAGAGAGTAACGAGGTGGTGGAAGAGGAACAGGAGGAGGGAGCGGAGGATGAGGATGAGGATGGGGATGGGGATGAGGATGAGGATGAGGATGATGATGATGCTGATGACGATGATGACGAGGATGATGATGATAATAATGATGATGCTGCGGATGATGATGAATATGCTGCTGCTGATGATGCTGATGCTGCTGATGATGATGACGATGCTGATGCTGCTGCTGCTGATGATGATGATGATGGTGACGATGATGATGGTGCTGCTGCTGCGGATGATGATGATGATGATGATGATGATGATGATGATGATGATGATGATGATGCTGATGATGATGATGATGATGCTGCAACTGATTATGATACTGATGATGAGGATGCTGATGATGATGCTGATGATGATGCTGCTGCTGATGATGATGATGATGATGATGATGATGATGATGATGATGATGATGATGATGAGGATGAGGATGAGGATGAGGATGAGGATGAGGATGAGGATGAGCAGGAGGAGGAGGAGGAGGAGGAGGAGGAGGAGGAGGAGGAGGAGGAGGAGGAGGACGAGGAGGACGAGGACGGCGAATATTCAGGATGACGAGGCAGAGGAGGGCGCGGACGTGCCCTCGCGCTGGCCTAGGTGCTGAAGATGGCCGCCGTGCAGATTCGGGCGCTGATCGGCAAAGGCGGTCGACTCTGTCGTCCTCTTTCCCTCCTCCCCCCTCCCCCCCTCCCAAGTCTTCTCTCCTCCATCCCCCTCCCTGCCCCTTCCTCGTCCCGTCCTTGCTTGTTCGCCCCTCGTCCCTTCCTGTCCCTTCCTTCCTCCGTCCTGCGTCCTCCGTTCTCCCCCCCCTCCTCCTCCTCCTCCTCCTCCAGCAGCGGACCGCGTGTCCGCACCACCTACGCGCCCCAGCCGCCGCCGCCGCCCCCAGTGCGGTCCCACCGCCAGGCGCCTCCGGTGCGGTCCCACCGCCAGGCGCCTCCGGTGCAGCCCCACCGCAAGGGGGGCCGCCGCCGCACGACACCACCCCGACATCGGCGCCAGGTACGGGGGCTGCCCCCCCGTCGGGGGACCCGTACCCTTTTCTCTCCCCAGGGGGGACGAGCCCACGCCCCTGGCAAGCCAGGGGCCCGCCCGTCGACGGCCCTGGGGAGCAGCCGACCCCGAGATGGTTGTGGGGTGGGCAGCGGCCTCCAGCGGCAGCCCGCGCGCCTGCTGCCAGCCTTCTGGTGAGCCCCCGGTCCAGCGCGTCGCGCCCCTCCGCCGCTCGCCCGCTGCCCTGCCGGTCCACGAGCCTCCTCCAGCTCGCAGCGGCGCCCCCGGCCTTGCCCGCGCGCGCCCGCAGCCCAGCCGCCCCGCAGGCCCCTTGCAGCCCCGCAGCCCCCAGCCGCAGCCTGGCTCCCCGGTGCGCCGCCCTGCAGCGCCGGCGCCGCCTCCGCCGCCTCCGCCGCCTCCAGCCGCCTTGGCGCCGCCTCTGCCCTCAGTCCCCCCCTCCTCCGCCTAGCGCCGCGGCGCCCTCTGGCCGCCCGCTGGGCGCCGCCCGGAGCGCGGCGGCCGCCCGCCAGGGCCTGGCCTGGGTGGCGGCAAGCACCGCGTCCGCAGCGTGCCGCTGCAGCACGCAGCCAAGGGCCTGCTGCTCCTCCTCCTCCTCCTCCTCCTCCTCCTCCTCCTCCTCCTCCTCCTCCTCCTCCTCCTCCCGCTCCTCCTCCTCCTCCTCCTCCTCCTCCTCCTCCTCCTCCCTCCTCCCCCCTCCTCTCCTCCTCTCCTTCTCCTCCACCTCCTCCTCCTCCTCCTCCTCCTCCTCCCTCCTCCTCCTCCTCCTCCTCCTCCTCCTCCTCCTCCTCCTCCTCCTCCTCCTCCTCCTCCCCCTTCTTCCTCCTCCCTTCTCCTCCTCCTCCTCCTCCTCCTCCTCCACCTCCTCCTCCTCATTCCTCCTCCTCCCCCCTTCTCCTCCTCCCTTCTCCTCCTCCTCCTCCTCCTCCTCCTCCTCCTCCTCCTCCTCCTCCTCCTCCTCCTCCTCCTCCTTCTCCCTCCTTCCTCCTCCTCCTCCTCCTCCTCCTCCTCCCCTCCTCCTCCCTCCTCCTCCTCCTCCCCCTTCTCCCTCCTCCCTTCTCCTCCCCTCCTCCTCCTCCTCCTCCTCCTCTCCTCCTCCCCCCTTCTCCCTCCTCCCTTCTTCTCTCCTCCTCCTCCTCCTCCTCCTCCTTCTCCTTCTCCTTCTCCTCCTCCTCCCCCTTCTTCCTCCTCCCCCTTTTGCTCCCTCCTTCTCCACGGTCCCGACTCCGTCCCCCGCAGGAGGCGCTCTCCGCATGCGCGCACGCAGAAGCGGTGCCGGCGCCTGCCCTGTCTTGTCGTGCCTGGAGTGGTTGGGGCTCCCGGATGCCTTGAGTGTTGACGACGGGCCCCAGCGCTGCAAATCAGGGCTGGACCTAAACGGTGTTTTTGGCGATTTTGTGGGCCGTTTTCGTTTCGACTTCGTTTTGCGGTAAAGGCGGATTCGAAAATTATCCAGGCGAAGGACCCAACCATATGCAATTGTGAATAACGCTTTGTGGGTGCCGCTTTCGGTGGGGCTCCTTATGGGGCCACGAAAGGCGTGCCACGAAACGCTGTCCTGGGCGTACGGGACGCATGAGGGCGGTAGCACTGGGGCCTTCGGTGGAGCTCCCTATGGGGCCACGAAACGTGTGAGGGGTGTGCCGAAATGGGTGCGGCGCCGCCATGCCAACGCAGCCACTGGGGCCTTCGGTGGAGCTCCCTATGGGGCCACGAAGCGTGTGAGGGGTGTGCCGAAATTGGGTGCGGCGCCGCCATGCCAACGCAGCCACTGGGGCCTTCGGTGGAGCTCCCTATGGGGCCACGAAACGTGTGAGGGGTGTGCCGAATTGGGTGCGGCGCCGCCATGCGAACGCAGCCACTGGGGCCTTCGGTGGAGCTCCCTATGGGGCCACGAAACGTGTGAGGGGTGTGCCGAAATGGGTGGTGGGGCCGCATGCGGACGCAGCCACTGGGGCCTTCGGTGGAGCTCCCTATGGGGCCACGAAACGTGTGAGGGGTGTGCCGAAATGGGTGCGGCGCCGCCATGCGAACGCAGCCACTGGGGCCTTCGGTGGAGCTCCCTATGGGGCCACGAAACGTGTGAGGGGTGTGCCGCATGCGAACGCAGCCACTGTGGCCTTCGGTGGGGCTCCCTATGGGCCACGAAGCGTGTGAGGGGTGTGCCGAAATGGGTGCGGCGCCGCCATGCCGAACGCAGCCACTGGGGCCTCGGGAGCTCCTTCGAAAGTGTGAGCTCGCCATGCGGCAGCATCGGTGGAGGGCCACGAAACGTGTGAGGGGTGTGCCGAATGGGGGGGGGCGCATGCGGGCGCAGCCACTGGGGCCTTCGGTGGAGCTCCCTATGGGGCCACGAAGCGTGTGAGGGGTGTGCCGAAATGGGTGTGCGGGACGCATGCGGACGGCAGCACTGGGGCCTTCGGTGGAGCTCCCTATGGGGCCACGAAACGTGTGAGGGGTGTGCCGAAATGGGGTGCGGGACGCATGCGGACGCAGCCACTGGGGCCTTCGGTGGAGCTCCCTATGGGGCCACGAAACGTGTGAGGGGTGTGCCGAAATGGGTGTACTGGGCCTTGTGGAGCTCCCGATGGGGCCACGAAACGTGTGGGGTGTGCCGAAATGGGTGCGGCGCCGCCATGCCAACGCAGCCACTGGGGCCTTCGGTGGAGCTCCCTATGGGGCCACGAAACGTGTGAGGGGTGTGCCGAAATGGGTGCGGCGCCGCCATGCGAACGCAGCCACTGGGGCCTTCGGTGGAGCTCCCTATGGGGCCACGAAACGTGTGAGGGGTGTGCCGAAATGGGTGCGGCGCCGCCATGCGAACGCAGACACTGGGGCCTTCGGTGGAGCTCCCTATGGGGCCACGAAACGTGTGAGGGGTGCGCCGTGATAGTGGGAGGAGGGAGGAGGGAGGGGGGAGGAGGCGGAGGAGGAGGAAGGAAGGAAGGAGAGCAGAGGAGACGCGGGGCACCGTCTCTTCAAAACGAGGACCCAACACCACAGGATGGTTGGGAACAAAACCAAAACGACAAACACCGTTTAGGTTCAGCCCTGCTGCAAATGGCATCCCTGTTCTCGTGTTGATTGCACCTGGCTCAGCGAACTGACCAATATCCAAGATAGGCTCGATTGGAGTGGATGGGCTGGCGGGTAGGATGAGGTCGGGCGTGTCCTCGTACAGGCGGATTTTGGACGACACGTAACAAATGGTCAAGCAATGCCAGAACATAGTCACATATAGTTGAAAAATGGTCCCCAGACATTTTGTTTGAACTATTTTTGAATACTCCTCCTGCAGAGGGACATGCCCGTCAGGATGTCAGAAGTGGTGTGAGCGCACCAGGCTGGCCCCTCTCCCCTCTCGCCCCTCCAACTCTCCGCTCTCCCCTCGCGGGACCGGACGGGGCGGGAGGGGGAGGAGACGGAGGGAGCGGGAGCAGAGAGGGAAGGGAGGGGGGGGAAGAAGAGAAGGGAAAAGGGCGAGGGAGGGGGACGCGTGCTCTGATTTTGCCTCTCTTGTGCCTATCGTCTTCGACACCATTTGTTCCGGCGGCCCTGTTGTGCTTGACCGTCGATGCGGTACCCCGCGTTTTTTTTAGATCAGACGCAGCGTGCGCGAGGGCAGCGTGCGCGAGGGCGAGGGGGTGGAGGGAGGATATGGAGGGCGAGGAGCTGGGCGAGGGAAAGAGGGGGGAGGAGGGGGGGGGAGGGAGGGACGGGTGGGGGGGGGGAGGGGACGGGCGAGGGGATGAGGGGGGGAGCGAGCTGGGCGTTGGGAGGGGCGAGGTGGGCGAGAGGGGGCTGGGGGCCGGGATGGGGGCGCGCGCCCCCCGAAACCCGGGCGCGGCGCGCGCGCGCGCCTGCGCCGCCCCGCGGGCGTGGCGGCCGGGCTCGGCTGCCGTGCCGAAGGGCGCTCGCCTGCCGCTTTGCCTCCACCGTGTCGTCGCGCTCGGCGCGAGCGAAGCGGGTACGGAGAGAATGGGGAAAGGCCTCCTCCTCCTCCTCCTCCTCCTCCTCCTCCTCCTCCTCCTCCTCCTCCTCCTCTTCCTTCTCCTCGTTTTCCTCCTCCTCCTCCTCCTCCTCCTCCTCTTCCTTATCCTCCTCCTCCTCTTTCCTCGTCCCCGTCCTTCCGTAGCCTTTGTGGCTCAAGATGATTTCGCCCCGTGGCAGAGCACGGAAACTTCTTGGTCTAGGGACAATTGCGGACAATTCTTGTGCTACAGCTACATCCAAGGGCGGGCTGCCGCCCACGCTTCTTCCATATCCAGCAGTCAGCACTCAGGGGCGAACTGCAGCCCACTTCCATACTTGCATCGCTCCCAAGCGGCGACTGCAGCACATTCTCGACATGGCAAGCGGTCGTGGCCGTGGAGCTGAAGGTGGCGCCAAACGTCGCCAGCATCGTCGGCTCAGAGCTCCATCGGGGAACGCAGTTATTTCCCAATACATCGTTTGCATTCAGTGCCGCCACATTTGAACAGGGACACCGAAACAGTAATACTTAATGTGCGGAAAGCTTTTCGCCCCATCCCCAGCTGAACATCGGCTGCTTGCAGGTGCATGGGCAGGGGGAAACGCTACGAAACCACCATGGACAGCCGAACGGCCAGTACCATCTCAGGGACAAGGAGG